TACGTTTCCTTGCCCTGGAGAAGAAAGGAGTTGGACTGGATGGCCTTGAGTATTTTCTGTTGTTCATGGGGGTTCTGTGTAGGAAGTTTAGCCCAAGTCTATCGCTGGTGGGATTCAGAATGCTCTTTGATTGTAGGTGAACTATACATCCCAGTAACTACAACTCCCAAATGTCAAGGTCTATTTCCCTCAAACTCCATCTGTGTTCATATTTGGTGAATGATATTGAATGTAAGACTCAAGACTATAACAATACACACAAATGTAACCATAAGCATTGGAGCCAGAAGCTATAAACTTTGTTACTTTGTTTACTACAAGTGTCTCAAGCCTGTAATATAAAAGCCTCAAAGTAAAAACTCACAAGAAATCCCCAGCCAATTAAAAAAGGGGAAAATACATCAATACAAGTCAGTAAAAAGATTTAAAAGGAAACATTTTCTCCCCACATCGTCACACATAAAAAGACAACTGAAAAAGGATTGAAGTAGTGCAATGTCATCTCACTATCTAAAGGAAGTATAAATACTTTGGTTTATGTTATGGAAACCTTGTTTGTGTTGTAACAATATTTTTCTACAAGAAAGGCCTCCGGAAGGAAGATAATAATAGTCAGTGTGTGTTTTATTTTTTCTTATACTGGCTACTGGTTCTGGGTCGCGCTTCTGCTACCACATAAGCTACTCTGCTGTGAGGGTCTTTTGTTATTAAGCCCCTCTGCTTACAAATACCACTATTCTCTCCAGTGTGAATTCTATGACAATGTAGATTTCATGATGCTTTTTCCACACTCCAGGATGTGAATCCTCTGTTGTAAACGTAGACCTGAACTATAAGTAAAGCTCTGCCCACACTCCAGGCATTTTTAGGGTTCCTCCCTAGTGTGAGTCCTTTCATGTTTCTGAAGATGATCCCTCTGAGAAAAACTCTGCCCACATTCCAGGCACATCTAGGGCTTCTGCCCAGTGTGAGTCCTTTGATGTGAACGTAGATCTGAACTGCGAGAGAAGCTCTGTCCACAATCCAGGCATGTATACGGTTTCTCCCCAGTGTGGGTCCTTTGATGGGAACGTAGGTTTCCACGCTCCGTGAAGCTCTTTCCACACTCCAGGCATGTATAGGGTCTCTCTCCAGTGTGAGTCCGCTGATGTGAGCGTAGGCTTCCACTCTCAGTGAAGCACTTTCCACACTCCAGGCATGTATAGGGTTTCTCTCCAGTGTGAATCCGTTCATGTTGCTGCAGATGATCCCTCCGAGTAAAACCCTTTCCACACTCCAGGCATGTATAGGGTTTTTCCCCAGTGTGAGTCCGTTGATGCGAGCGCAGCCCTGAACTATGGGTGAAACTCTGTCCACACTCCAGGCACGTATAGGGTTTCTCTCCAGTGTGAGTCCTTTCATGCAAATGTAGGCTTCTATTCTCACTGAAACTCTTTCCACACTCCAGGCATGTATAGGGTTTTTCTCCAGTGTGAGTCCTTTGATGGGAACTTAGACCCGAACTATGAGTAAACCTCTGTCCACACTCCAGGCAAAGATAGGGCTTTTCCCCAGTGTGAGTCCGTTGATGTGAACGTAGACTTGAACTATGAGTGAAGCTCTGTCCACACTCCTGGCATGTGTATGTTTTTTCCCCAGCATGAGTCCGTTGATGTGAACGCAGACCTGAACTATAAGTAAAACTCTGTCCACACTCCAGGCATGTATAGGGCTTCTCTCCAGTGTGAGTCCTTTGGTGCAAACGTAGACTTCCGCTTTCAGTGAAGCTCTTTCCACACTCCACGCATGTATGTGGTTTCTCCCCTGTGTGAGTCCTTTGATGTTTTTGTAGAACTGAATTCTCAGCAAAGCTCTTTCCACACTCCAGGCATTTATAGGGCTTCTCCCCAATGTGGATCCACTGATGTGAACGTAGTTTTGAACTCTGAGCAAAGCTCTGTCCACAGTCCAGGCATGTATAGGGCTTCTCCCCAGTGTGAGTCCGTTGATGTAAACGTAGACTTCCACTCTCAGTGAAGCTCTTTCCGCACTCCAGGCATGTATAGGGTTTCTCTCCCGTGTGAGTCCTTTCATGTTGCTGCAGATGATGGCTTCGAGTGAAACTCTTTCCACACTCCAGGCATGTATAGGGTTTCTCCCCTGTGTGGGTCCGTTGATGCGAACGCAGACCTGAACTCTGAACAAAGCTCCGTCCACACTCTAGGCATGAATAGGGTTTCTCCCCAGTGTGAATCCGTTGATGTGTACGCAGACCTGAACTTTGAACAAAGCTCCGTCCACACTCCAGACATGTGTAGGGTTTCTCCCCTGTGTGAATCCGTTGATGTGAACGTAGACCTGAACTCTGAATAAAACTCTGTCCGCACTCCAGGCATGAGTAGGGTTTTTCCCCAGTGTGAGTCCGTTGATGTTTACGTAGAGCTGAACTATGAGTGAAGCTCAGCCCGCACTCCAGGCACGTATAGGGCTTTTCCCCAGTGTGAGTCCGTTGATGGGAACGTAGACCTGAACTATAAGAGAAATTCTGTCCACACTTCAGGCATGTATAAGGCTTCTCTCCAGTGTGAGTCCGTTGATGCAAACGTAGGCTTCCACTCTCAGTGAAGCTCTTTCCGCACTCCAGGCACGTATAGGGTTTCTCCCCAGTGTGAGTCCTTTCATGTTTAAGTAGAACTGAATTCTGAGGAAAGGTCTTTCCACACTCCAGGCATTTATAGGGTTTCTCCCCACTGTGGAGCCATTCATGGGAACGTAGTTTTGAACTCTGAGTGAAGCTCTGCCCACACTCCAGGCATGTGTAGGGTTCCTCTCCTGTGTGGATCCTTTCATGTTGCTGCAGGTGATCCCTCTGAGTGAAGCTCTTTCCGCCCTCCAGGCATTTAGGTGCTTTCTCCGTCATGTCAACAGTGATAGGGGTGTTTAGCTGCAATACAGATCCTTGCCTCTTCTTTTTTTCCTTTCTTATCTGAAAGTGAGATCAGGAATTCAGCAAGGCCATCCCCTTGAGAGTGTTTCTTCTTCTTCCTGTGTTCTTGGTTTCCGTCCTGCACCCAAGAGGTGGCTCCATAGAATCCCCGTTTTCCCTGGTCAAGGAAGAAGCAAAAGGTCAAGGATGGCAGCCAGAAACTTTCACTGCCCTCCAAGATTCCCCCCCCCCCCCCCGTTTCCCCTCATTGAAATATTAAGAAATGCAGGCCTCAGGTCTCAAATGAATACACAAATTCCAGCAAAGGCAATCACAGATTCTTAAAAAAGAATGAACCTAGAAAGAAAGAAGAAAAGGAGGAAGGAAGGAAGGAAGGAAGGAAGGAGGGAGAGGGAGGGAGGGAGGGAGGAAGGAAGGAAGGAAGGAGAAGGAGGAAGGAAGGGAAGGAAGGAAGGAAGGCGGAAGAAAGAGGAACTCCTTCCAAGGGTGTCGTTCACTGGATAACGGGGTTCTCTGAATGACCAGGATGTGCTGAATGCTGAGGGACACAAAGGTTTCAGGGCTCCCTCCCTTCCCATCATGGGTCCCGGGTCCGCTTCCTGAGCGTCTCCAATTAGGCGCCTGCTGCCACCAAATCCCCGGCCTCTTCCCAAAGGAATCCTGCCACCAATTCAGATCCTGCCTCCCCAACCAACATTGAGGATTGTTGGGATGTTCACAAAATGAGTCTTTGCTGAACAAAGTCCGCTCTGGGTCATTCTCTCCCTCGGATGGATGGGATGCCGAGACTCCAATATTGTGGCAGGACCAATAGATGCACCCGAGGCGCCCGGCTGTCTGTCCTATTTTTATGGATGTGTTTCCGTTGGTTCAGCCTGAGGATGTGGAGAAGAACCTTGGAGCTGCAAGGGCGACGACCACGTGTGCCCCAGACCCTTGCCCTTCCTGGCTTGCTAAATGAGCCAGAGGGAGATTGGCCGAATGGATTACGAGACAGGCCAACATCCCAACATCCCTGAACAAGGCAGTCACAGGACCAATTTAAACAATTATCTATCTATTTTCCATTTCCCCTTCTTGGGCAAGGTTCTAGCGTGGGAGGTGGGTATTCAACTCCAGGGGTTCTTGGATGAAACGGATCATTTTGACGTGGTCATGTGACAGAGAAAACTTTGGTTGCGTTGGTGGATGACCTAGATGGGGGAAGTGTCTCCCTGCTGGTCCTCCTGGTCCTCTCAGCAGCTTTCGTTACCATCGACCAAGGGCCGTCTCTCCCGGATGGGACTTGAGGGCACTCCCTTGCACTCGTTCTTGAAGGACCAAACCTGGTTCTGGGGGACACCTGCTCAGACTCCTGGCCATTGGCTGTGGACTCCCGCAAGGTTTGATTCTATCCGCCATGCTCTTCAACATCTACATGAAACCACTGGGTGAGCTCATCTGGAGTTTTGGAGTTTGGCGTCATCTGTATGCAGATGACACATGACTCTATTACTCATTTCCACCCAAATCCAAGGAAGCTGCCCAGATCCTGGACCACTTCCTGACAGCTGTGATGGGCTGGATGATGGGTAACAAACTCAAGCTTAATCCAGACAAGACAGAGGCCCTCCTGGTCAGTCAGGAGCCCGATCGGGGTAGAGGCGGCAACCTATGCTTGATGGGGTTACACTTCCCCTGAGGACACATATCAGCTGTTATGGGGTCCTCTTGGACTCAGCGCTGACCAGGAGGGCCTTGGCACAATTATTATTATTATTATTAATAATAATGAAACTTTATGTCTAGACTGGCCTCTATTCCCAGGAGGACTCAGGGCAGTTTACACATGACAAGGCAAACATGCAATGCCTCAAAATAATACAGAAACATCAAAATAATACAAAATAATTGAGAGTAACAACAGAAAACTTAAAACAAAGGAATTAAAAATAAAAACAAGAACAATCCATTAAGACATCCAAACTAAAACATGAATAAAATATTTACCCTAAAACAAATTATGAGATGTTGTATTAAAATGGCTGACAACGGTGTTTCATTTAAGATGTATCGTAACAACCGTCCAATCCGCGTAGATGAGCCAGAAGCCCCAATCCTCCTCCTCCTCCTCCTCTCCGCACGCTGAGGTGCATGTGTGTGTTTCCAGAAGTTTCTTAAAGGAGAGGAGGGTGGGTGGGTGGGGGCCATGTTTCTTTCTGTGGGGAGGGGGCCCCAGAGACAAGGAGCGACCCATTGGCCTGTCAAGCCCCGTCTAGGTGGGTCAGCCCCCCCCCCCCCCGCTCCTCCTCCTCCAAGGGGAACAGAACCACCCACACTGGGCTCCACAGGCCTGTGTTTTTAGTTTTGTGTCCCAACATTGAGTGGTTGCTGTTGCATGCTGCGCTCTGCCCTGAATGAATCGGGGTGAGAAGGGCGGGACAGAAATGGCTTAAATAAATACATATTGTATTGTATTTTAAAGTTGGTTGTTTTGTTTTAATCTACTGCTGTAAACCGCTCTGAGCCAAATTGGGAGTGGCGGTAGGCAAGCCTAATAAATAAATAAATAAATAAATAAATATTGGCCATGGAGCAAGTGAAATGGAAACTTTTTTATGCGTTGGCATAAAAGTCGCAGCCAGGCCGGTGGAGCACGCACGGCCCAGAGCTCGTTCAAAAGCCTATTCTGCTGCTGCGTCCTTAGAGTCCTAGAAGAGTGGGAAGAGACCCCCTCCTGGGCCATCCTCATTCTGCCAAGAAGCAGGGATATTGCATTCAAATCACCCCTGACAGATGGCCATCCAGCCTCTGCTTAAAAGCTTCCAAAGAAGGAGCCTCCACCACACTCCGGGGCAGAGAGTTCCACTGCTGAACGGCTCTCACAGTCAGGAAGTTCTTCTTCATGTTTTCAGACGGAACCTCCTTTCTTGTAATTTGAAGGCATGGCTCCCTTGCGTCCTAGTCTTCCTCCGGGGAAGCAGAAAGGAAGCTCCCTCCCTCCCTCCTCCTCCTCCTCCTCCCCCCTGTGACTTCCTCTCACCTATTTAGACATGGAGGGGGGGGGCAATCCCCGAGAAGGAAGGCCTCCCCCCTCCCAACTCCCTCCCGGAGTGTTGGACTACAACTCCCGGCATTCCTTGCTTCCTTCCTTCCTTCCTTCCTTGGGGCTCTCGGGTGGCCCTCTTGTGGGCGCCCCAGGAGTGCCAAACCCCGCCCTGGTGGGGGAGGGGCCCCGGCCCGTGCTGGCCTTCCCTCCCCCCCCGCGAGGCCCCGCCCCCTCACCTCTCTCTCTCTCTCTCTCTCTCTCTCTCTCTCTCTCTCTCCTCCGCCTTCCTCACGCGCCGCTCCCTTCTTTCCAAAATGGCGGAGGCCCGCCCCCTCCCTCCCTCCCTCGCGCCGAACCCCGGCCGCGCGCCGCCCTCCCATTGGCTGGGCCCGGGAAGAAGCCCCTCCCTCCATTGGCTCTCTGCCTGCCTGCCTCCGGCTGGGATTGGTGGATGGCAAGGCGGGGCAAGAGGGGCGGGGACAGAGAGGGCGGCCCGCTCTCCACCAGGGGGCGCCCACACCGCTCGGCCGGCCTGCCCGGAAGGAGGAGCCGCGCCCCGCCCTTACGGAGAGAGAGAGAGAGAGAGAGCAGAGGGCGGCTCCTGCTCCCACACGGCCGGGCAGCCCACCGGAAGCCGGGCACGACCCCAGGTTTCCGGCCAGGGAAGCCTTCCTTCCACCACACTTCCGCCCTCCCTCCTTCCTTCCGGGTTTGCGTGTTTCTCGGTTTGTTTTTTTTTTTTTTTAGGTTTTTTTTTTTTTTTTTTTTTTCTTTTTGTTGTTGTTGTATCCGTTTATTTTTTTTTCTTTTTATGTTGTTTTTAGTTTTTTTTTGTTTTTTTTTTTGCGAGCACAGAGAGAGAGAGGGAAGAGGAGGGACCCCCCAGCCCCGCCCCTCCTCAAAGGCTACGGGGAGGGAGGGGCGGGGCTACGGCGACGTCAGACTCCCTCCCCCCGAGGAAGGGGCGGGGCCTGCAGCGCCTTCTCTCTCTCTCTCTCTGTGCCCTCAGGCCCCGCCTCCTTCCCCTTGCCCCGCCCCCTCCTCGCCCTCCACCAATCCTGGGCGAGAGGCAGGGCAGGTCTTCCAATGGGAGGGAGGGCGGCGGCGGGCCTGCGGGAGAGGGGGGCCTCTCCGCCATTTTGGAAACAAGAAAGAAAGGCAGGCAGGCAGGCAAGAGGGGGGCGCGGCGCTCGGGAGGGAGGGATCCCGGGAGGAGAGTGGAAGGCGAAGCCGTTCCCGCGGGAGGGGGGAGGGAGGGAGGGGGGAGGCCTGCCCCCCTCCTGTCGCCCACAAGGCCTCCTTCCCTCCCTCCCTCCCTCCTGAGGGGAGGGGGCAAAGGAAGGCAGGCAGGCAGGCAGGCCGCGAGGAGGAGGAGGAGGAGGGCTGGGAGGGCGAGTCCAAAACACACGGAGGGAGGACGGGAGGGAGCCTCTCCCAGCCAGCCACGGGTGGGGGTTCTTCTGGGTGTGTGGGCCTGCCTGCCGCTTTTGGACTCTTGCTTTCATAGCTTTTAGTCCCTGCACTTCCATCTTGGTATCCTGTCAACACACAGTGAGTGCATGGTGGTCTGGTAGTGTCAGCTCACAGCAGCTGCTCCCCATGAAGACACAGGAGTGCGCCCCCCTGGTATCAGTGGGAATGCATGGACAGGGGGAAAGCCTCCTTATATATACACACACACCGCCCCCCTCATTTGGAAGGAGATTTGGGGGGCAATGCCTGGCTCGAGAGCAGGACGCGTGGAAAAGATCTTCCCTGAGGTCCCGCTCTCACATCCGTAGGTATTTATGTATCCTGTCACCAGCAACCAGGCATCGGTATTGCATCCGTAGGTGGTGACAGGGAATGGCTTTGACTAGGCCATGGATCTTGGTTGCCAGTGTGATGCCTCTCCTCTTCACTCTTTGATCGAGGTGGGTCCTTGCTCTCCTGCCAAGAAGGAAACGTCTCTTGATATCCTGGCTGCGGTCTGCGTCTGCACTCATCTTTGCACCTACAAATTATTTATTTATTTATTTTTGTTAACTTTATTTGTACCCCGCTACCACCATCTATCTCCCCAAGGGACTCGGTGAGGCCGAGCCCAGGCACAACAACAAAAGCAATAAACATCAATACAAGCAATTAAAAAGCAATACATAGACAATAAAATACACAACATTATCAAAACAATACATAATTAAAATGTAAAGTTAAAATTGGAAATAATGCTGGGCCATGAACAACGAAAGGTGGTACGAGTGTTTTTTTTGGAGGGCATACAAGCAGACTCAGGGAAATGTAAAGTGCTTGGAGGACAAAGTGCAATGGGATTCATTATTCCAGGAAGGCTGTTGTTCCATGGTCAGTTCTTCCTTTTGCTGCTTGGTCCTTATACAAATTCCTCAGGAGAGAGACAAGGTGTTTTGGTATGTTTTCCATACAGCAGAACCTGACTCCCTGCACAAAAGCCAAGACTCCAAAAGTGCACTTCTTCCTCCTCCTCCCTTGAGAAAGAAGCCCCAAAGTGACCAGACTGTTCCCGTGGAAATCTGCGACTATCCATAGGCACACTATTTCTCTCCTTCCCGTGGACCAGAGCGCGGCGGGTGAACCAGACTCCTCAGGTCGGTCACACTTTGAGCATTATTAGACTGAGTCTTTTATAGGAATATTCTGCTGATGTCGTCCCAAAGTTGTAAATGAATGATAGACGTCTTCCATCCTGGATCCATCATCTCAGTTTCCTGGCCAGATGTTGACTCTTCTTGATTGGTGTTGACAAACACAAGGCTTGTGTTGACTTCCTTCTTAACGTAAGGAATGTTGCAAACATTACCTTAAAAGAACAATTGTCACAGTTCTTACCAGAGATTACTTTTCAATTCTCATTAGCGACTTTTAATTACAGGTAGTCATTGCAGGCCTTAATATTTTACTGGTGCTTCCAAAAGTCTTAACTCCTCCATACATCCTTCCATTCTTCCTTTCATTCCCACACATCTTATTAATTTCATATTAATTTCAAATCTACAACGATAGTTTCGTGTCAAACATCCCAGCAATCCTTGATGTGGGTTTGAATTTGTTGGTTGGGGAATTGGTGGGTCTGAATTGGTGGCAGGATTCCTTTGGGAAGAGGCAGGGGATGTGGTGGCAGCGTGCGCCTAATTTGGGATGCTCAGGAAGCGGACCCGGGACCCATCACGGGAAGGGAGGCAGGCCTGTAATCTTTGTGTCCCTCAGCATCCAGCACATCCTGGTCATTCAGAGAAACCCGTTATCCAGTGAATGACACCCTTTCCTATTGGAAAGAGCCGTTCCTTCCTTTCTTCCGGCCTGCATCCCGTTCCTTTGGCCTCATTTGTGTTGGACCCACTGAAATCAAGGTGATGCTCCAATAACTGGAAGGAGTTCCTCTTCCTTCTGTCATTCCTTCCTCCCTCCTTCCTCCTTTTCTTCTTCCTTTCTAGATTCATTCCTTTTTAAGAATCAGTGATTGCCTTTGCTGGAATCTGTGTCTTGAGACCCTGAGGCCTGCGTGTCTTAGTATTTCCATTCTGAGCATGACCTATGGAGGGAAAGGGGGGAAATCTTGGAGGCAGTGAAAGTTTCTGGCTGCCATCCTTGACCTTTTGTTTCTTTCTTGACCAGGGAAAACGGGGATTCTATGGAGCCACCTCTTGGGTGCAGGACGGAAACCAAGAACACAGGAAGAAGAAGAAACACTCTCAAGGGGATGGCCTTGCTGAATTCCTGATCTCACTTTCAGATAAGAAAGGAAAGAAGGATAGTCAAGGATCTGAATTGCAATTAAACACCCCTATCGCTGTTGACATGACGGAGAAAGCATCTCAATGCCCGGAGGGCGGGAAGAGCTTCACTCGGAGGGATCACCTGCAGCAACATGAAAGGATTCACACTGGAGAGAAACCCTACACATGCCTGGAGTGCGGAAAGAGTTTCACTTCTAGTTCAGGTCTACGTTCACATCAACGGACTCACACTGGGGAAAAACCCTATACATGCCTGGAGTGTGGGCAAAGCTTCACTTGGAGTTCAGGTCTACGTTTACATCGATGGATCCACATTGGGGAGAAGCCCTATAAATGCCTGGAGTGTGGAAAGGGCTTTGCTGAGAATTCATTTCTACATAAACATGAAAGGACTCACACTGGGGAGAAACCCTATTCATGCGAGGAGTGTGGAAAGAGCTTCTCTGAAAGTGGAAGTCTGCGTTCACATCAACGGACTCACACTGGAGAGAAGCCCTATACATGCCTGGAGTGTGGACAGAGCTTCATTCAGAGCTCAAAACTCCGTTCACATCAACGGACTCACACTGGGGAAAAGCCCTATACATGCCTGGAGTGCGGAAAGAATTTCTCTCAGCAGGCTCACCTGCAGCAACATGAAAGGACTCACACTGGGGAGAAACCCTATCCTTGCCTGGAATGCGGAAAGAGCTTCACTTCTAGTTCAAGCCTACGTTCCCATCAAAGGACCCACACTGGGGAAAAACCCTATCCTTGCCTGGAGTGTGGACAAAAGTTCACTCATAGTTCAGGCCTACGTTCCCATCAAAGGACTCACATTGGAGAGAAACCCTATACATGCCAGAAGTGTGGGCAGAGCTTCACTCATAGTTCAGGTCTACGTTCACATCAAAGGACACACACTGGGGAAAGACCCTATCCTTGCCTGGAGTGTGGACAGAGGTTCACTCATAGTTCAGGCCTACGTTCCCATCAAAGGGCTCACACTGGAGAGAAACCCTATAGATGCCAGGAGTGCGGAAAGAGTTTCACTGAGAGTGGAAGCTTACGTTTGCATCAACGGACTCACACTGGGGAGAAACCCTATACATGCCTAGAGTGTGGACAGAGCTTCTCTCAGCAGGCCCACCTGCAGCAACATGAAAGGACTCACACAGGAGAGAAGCCCTATACATGCCTGGAGTGCGGAAAGGGTTTCACTTCTATTTCAGGTCTACGTTCACATCAACGGACTCACACTGGGGAGAAACCCTATACATGCCTGGAGTGCGGAAAGAGCTTCACTGAGAGTGGAAGCCTACGTTCACATCAACGTACTCACACTGGAGAGAAACCCTATACATGCCTGGAGTGTGGACAGAGTTTCACTTATAGTTCAGGTCTACGTTCACATCAACGGTCTCACACTGGAGAGAAGCCCTATACATGTCTGGAGTGTGGACAGAGCTTCGCTCAGAGTTCAGGTGTACGTTCACATCAACGGACTCACACTGGGGAGAAACCCTATACATGCCTGGAGTGCGGAAAGAGCTTCACTCGGAGGGATCATCTGCAGCAACATGAAAGGACTCACATTGGAGATAAACCCTATACATGCCTGGAGTGTGGGCAGAGCTTCACTCAAAGTTCAAGTCTATGTTCACATCAATGGACTCACATTGGGGAAAAACCCTATCCTTGCCTGGATGTGTGGACAGAGGTTCATTCATAGTTCAGGTCTACGTTCCCATCAACTGACTCGCACTGGAGAGAAACCCTATAGATGCCTAGAGTGCGGAAAGAGTTTCACTCAGAGGGCTTATTGGCAGCTGGAGATCACACTGGAGATAAACCCTATACATTTCTGGATTGTGGGCAGAGCTTTATTCGGAGTTCAGGGTCTACGTTTACATCAGAGGATTCAGACTGAAGAGAACAATGCTATTTGACCCCTGAGAGATTTCCTAAGACAGAGCTTTCCAAACTTTTCATGTTGGTGACACTGTGGAAGACTGTAGGTTTTATATAGCAATATTAAATGATCACTCACAAGCCGGTTTTGCTTTGAAATGAATATATTGCTTGTATCTCTGCAGCAAAGAAAGACACTACTGATTTTTTCCCACCACCACTTCCTTTTATACGCCTTTCTTGCCCATCTCCCTCTCTTCTCAATTTCCTTATTAGAATTTGTTGCTTCACAAGTTCCCATACAAGGTTTCCAGTGCCCTTTGCTGGCTTCAAAATGTCACAGAGAGAGAATTGAGGCAGCCAGGATGATTCAGTCAGGATGTCACGGAGGGAATTTGTGATGTCTTCATGTCGTCAGGAATTGACTCCTGACAGACACACACTTTAGACACGCATTCTTTTGTGACATAGTAATTCAGTTTCACTAGCAAACCAACCAGTTAAGCCAACCCCGTATATAGGGATACATTTTCTATAATCTTTGCTGAATAAACAATTATTTTGTAGTTTCCTCTATAGCTGCTCCATGTGTTCATCACAAACATCATTATCAAGGTATTTTATTTCCTTAATTAGAAATGTACACATTTCACTGGTAATTACTGCAACCCAAGAATTGTGAATATAACAAAAGTCAGAACCGACACTTGAACACACCAACACTCCACTCCTGTGGTGGTGATGAAACCTGCCTGGGTGTTTTGAAACAGGTGCTGGTTAGCCTTCCACAGGTGCTTTGGCTGTGTCTTCCTGCCTGGCAGAAGGGGGCCGGACTAGGCGCCTTTTGGGGGTCTCTCCCGGCGGGGGCGTGGGAACCATTTCCCAGGTGATGCACTTGTGGACTGCAGCTGGCACACTCGTGTGTCATGGCACACAATTTGGAAGGCTCTGACCTGAGACATGCCAAGGCAGTGCTTGTTAATGCTGAAAAATGAGGGCACTGCTCTAGGGGGGGGGGGGGGGGGGGGGAAGAAGAAGAAGAAGAAGAAGGGGTGAATCCAACTCTCTGTGGAGTTCTCAGAAGGAGGCCCAGGTCTGCCTGTTGGTTTGTTAGTGCACTTTGTATGTCTATAGGACTGCTTTGTGGGGGTGTGTTTTTCCTGATTTATTTTTGTGCTAGTAGCCAATGAGTGAGCTGTGTAGCTTTACGGTAAAGGTATTCCCCTGACATTGTGTCCAGTCGTGTCCGACTCTGGTAGTTGATGCTCATCTCTGCTTCTAAGCCAAAGAGCCGGTGTTGTCCATAAATGCCTCCAAGGTCATGTGGATGGTATGACTGCATGGAGCGCTGTTACCTTCCTGCCAAAGCAGTACTTATTGTTCTATGCACATTTGCATGTTTTTGGACTGCTAGGTTGGCAGAAACTGGGGCTGACAGCGGGAGCTCACCCCACTCCCACCTTTCGATCAGCAAGTCCAGCAGCTCAGCGATTTAACCCACTACGCCACCAGGGACTTGAGCCTTGTATATTATGTAATTCCTCTGTTTCTCTTCTTCTCAATTAAAAACCCCGTGTTTCCAAATGTCGGGTTCAGATCAGCACGAAGTTCCCCCTTGTGCAGCAGAAGGGACTCCCCAGTGTTGTGAGGTAGACAGATTTGTGTATTGAAAAGTCCTCTGACCACATTGACCACAAAAGGGGGGTATACAGAGGCACCACGGACACATATCCCTATCCCACAACTCTTGCTATGAATTGTAATGTAAATATCTGATATGCAGGTTGTATTTTAAGTCACTGGACCAAATTTGGCACAAATACCCGATACACCCCAAATTTGAATACTGAAATATCCAATGTTCCCAAATTTGAATACTGGGGTTGTGGGGGATTGATTTGGTGCAATTTGTATGCACAGCTGGTAGTTGGCTGGAATTTTATTAGTTTCAGCCGAAAATTCAAGAGCTTCTGAACCTCGCTAAGACGATGTGTATTAGATTGAATCAAATAACATGGCACACAGAATCCCATGACCAAGAGGAAATACTGGGATGGTCTGGTGGACATTGACCTTGAGTTTTTGGAGTTGTAGTTCACCTACATCCAGAGAACACTGTGGACTCAAGCAATGATGGATCTGGATCAACCTTGGCACAAGTACTCAATATGCCCAAATGTGAACACTGGTAGAGTTTGGAGAAAATAGACCTTGCCATTTGGGAGTTGTGGTTGTTGGGATTTATAGTTCACAATCAAAGAGCATTCTGAACCCCACCGACGATAGAATTGGACCAAACTTTCCACCAATAGTTGAGGAATTGGAGCTCTGAAACTTTTGCAACACTAGTAGACACCTGCAACGACATTAGAAAATAAATAACTATGTTTTGCTTGTATAGTTTGCTATGTAGGCGACCCCTCTGACAGCCCCCGGTTTGCGAGGGCGGGACGCGGGTTACTGCACTACTCAGGGATACTCCTGACACTCCCCAGGTTGAGTAATACAGCTGGTCTATTTGAGGCATTCCTCAGTCTCATGACGTTTCGCTAGCGATCTTATAGGCAGTCAAGCATCCGTGGGTCAAAGGATGCTTGGCTATTGCCATAGGATGCATGGCCAAAGGGTTGTTTTTATAGTGTTAAAGCTGTTCAGGAGAGAATGCCATCTAGACCGCATAGGGTCTATGTGTAACAGCCTTGAAAGAATACCTAACAACCCAGTTCTTAACTATGTTTGCCGGTATAATCTGAAAACAAATCCCTGAAGAATAACTCGTAAAGTATAAGCCTCAATGATACTCTGGTTACTCCCTCCGGAGTTTACTCGTTCAGTAAGAGTTTCAACTTCACTCTTACGTATGCTATAATAAGGGAGTGTTAGGTATGAAAAGGATATAAACAACATTTCTGAGACAACAAACTAAACGCTTGAAATGCCCTTTATTTAGAAAATAACATCCACAAGGAACAAGTCCCCATGATACTGTTCTTCCTCATTGCGGAGGTTGCTCGTGCAGGCAGAGTTTTCTCTCTCTCTCTCTCTCTCTCTCTTCTGTGTAATCGTTTAAACAGTTGGTAAATATTGAAAAAATATTTGCTGAGTGTCTGAAGCAATGAACTCAAGACCTGAACTGTCCTTGGGAAAGTAAAATGACGTCAACAAGGGTCCCCGGGTTGAAATACCTCGTTTTGGGAGACTTCCCCTTCTTCTTCTTCAGGATTCTACGGTATCTTCTTCACATAAGCGTGTTAGTCTCAATAAGGAGGGAGGGAGGGAGGGAGGGAGGAGAAGAAGGAAGGAAGGAAGGAAAGAAGAAAGGAAAGGAAAGGAAGCAAGAAAAGAAGGGAGGGAGGGAGGAAGAAAAGAGGGAAGGGAAGGAAGGGATATTGTGAACCTGAGTCCCATCATCCTTGTGAGAATGGGGGACGATGCCTGGCTCGAGAGCAGTACGTGTGAAAAAGATCTTGGAGTCCTCATGGACAACAAGTTAAACATGAGCCAGGAATGTGATGTGGCGGCAAAAAAAGCCAATGGGATTTTGGCCTGCATCAATAGGAGCCTAGTGTCTAGATCTAGGGAAGTCATGCTCCCCATGCTCTATTCTGCTTTGGTTAGACCACATCTGGAATATTGTGTCCAATTCTGGGCACCACAATTCAAGAGAGATATTGACAAGCTGGAATGTGTCCAGAGGAGAGCGACTAAAATCATAAAAGGTCTGGAGAACAAGCCCTATGAGGAGCGGCTTAAGGAGCTGGGCATGTTTAGCCTGAAGAAGAGAAGGCTGAGAGGGGATATGATAGCCATGTATAAATATGTGAGAGGAAGCCACAGGGAGGAGGAGGGAGCAAGCTTGTTTTCTGCTTCCCTGGAGACTAGGACGCGGAACAATGGCTTCAAACTACAAGAGAGGAGATTCCCTCTGAACATGAGGAAGAACTTCCTGACTGTGAGAGCTGTTCAGCAGTGGAACTCTCTGCCCCGGAGTGTGGTGGAGGCTCCTTCTTTGGAAGCTTTTAACAGAGGCTGGATGGCCATCTGTCAGGGGTGCTTTGAATGCAATTTTCCTGCTTCTTGGCAGAAAGGGGTTGGACTGGATGGCCACAAGGTCTCTTCCAACTCTATGATTCTAGTGTAACACCAAATTGTGTGAAAGACGCATGCCTTCTTATCTCTAAACATAGCTGTCAGACCCAAGTCCAAAGCTGATGTGAAAAGAAGAGAAAGAAGGAAGGAAGGAGAAAGGGAAGGGTATGAAAAGAGGGAAGAAAGAGAAAAGAAGGTAAAAAAGAAAGGAAGGAGAAAGAAAAAGGAAGGAAGAGAAAGGGAAGGGAGAAAGGTAAAGGAAGGAAGGAAGGAAGGAAGGAAGGTAAAAAGGAGGGAAGAAAGGAAGAGAAAGGGAAGGAGGAAATGTATGAGAAGAGGGAAGAAGGTGAAAAGAAGAGAAAGAAGGAAGGAAGGAGAAAGATTATGGGATTAGCGTAATTGATAAGAAGGAGTAGGGAGAGGGAAGTAGAAAGAAAGGCTCTTAAGATAGAAGGAAGGAAGGAAGGAAAAAAGGAAGACCAGGAAGAAAGAGATTTCCAGGGAGCTGAGACCACCTTACCTCCCCCCCCCCCAAGGAATTACTTAAAAATGTCTTAAATGACAAGCTTCACTTCTTCACTTCACTTGATTTCTTAATTAGTCACTCTCCACCCAGGTACTCCGAGCGACTTACAATCTAAAATAGCATTTACACAATATCAAAACATTCAGCGGTGACTATTTGGCAAATTAGATCTGATTATGGCACCAATAAGGATGCCGGGAGAGCGGAGGCCCAGGCAGAGGTGGGCTGAGTGCCCTGAAGTTGCTGCTGAGTGGGAGAGAAATCAGGCCGAACCCTCCGAAGGCCCCCCACGGCCTGGCTATCAGTGGACTCCAAGGAAGGAAGGAAGGGGAAGAGCCAGCCCCCCTCTTCATGTTCTCCAGCAACAGCAAGAGCATCCCTCCCTGTGGGCAGCACAACCAGGCAACCCCCATTGGGTGCCCCCCAGCCCAGCCCACCCCCACGAGGGAGGGCCTCCCTCCAGGCGCAAAGCAGGAGTGGGCAACGTGGAGGTCCCTGAAGAGACTCGGAAGCAGAGTGGGCAGATCAAAGGGGAACCTGGCCAAATGGCCCCACCTGAGAGAACCCTCCGCCTTGTGCGACCGTGGACAGAACAGGCCACTCCGCACCCGTGTGCCTGCCCACAACGCCCTGCCTCATGCACAAGGGAAGAATTGTTGGAGGCTACAGACAGTGCAGTTGCTGTTGCCCATTTTTGGTCCAAAGATATTTAGCCGCTTGTGCTCCTTCTGTTTTTATCAGTTTTCTACTAATTTGTGCAATGCTTTTGGCACGAAATAAATCAATCTCCTGAAGTGTGAGAAGGGAGGGAAGAGCTCCAAGCGGCAGTGGCTCTTGCTCTGTGGGCTGCTGCTGCAGAAACCCTGAAGGGCAGGGAGGCCTGCTTCTCCCCCCGAGCGAGCGAGCGAGCGAGCGAGCGTGGGGCTGGCTCTGCCCGTGCCGTGGGCCTGTGCTTCTCTTTGTGCCTCGCCATGGCTTCCCCAAGTCAGAGCCAATGGGGCCATGCACTTGCAGGGAGGAGCTCTGGGGCCGTGGACAGCTCCCTGTGGTCTCTGCCTGGCTGACCGGCCGGACAGGCCCCCAAGCGCTCCTCAATCTGGGCCAGGGCAGAGAAGGCAAGCCTGGCTTCCGCACTTGGGAGCGTGGGTGGGTTCCTCTGCCACGCCTGGCTTGTCATCTCCCACTCGAGAGACCGCTGTGGGATTCAAAGGCAGCCAGGTGGGATGGGCGAACGGACTGTTCTTTCCGCACTCCTTGACCGCTGGACCTCAAAGGCGGAGGTGAGCCACCTTTCCATTCCTCACCTGGAGCAGAATCCAGTGGCAGGGAGGGGGTGCCTTATTATGGGAGCCCGTTGAAGGTGGCTCCATTTCAGGGCAGGGGTCAGGGTCCCACCGTTGGGGAATTCCACTGCAAGGAGGGCTCCTTTCTTTCAGGAAGGACCTCTTGGCCCTCGTCGCTGCCCGGGTTGACCTTGGGGTCCGGCCCTTGCCCAGAGATGGGTGCCGGGACCCCCGCTCTCTTCCTGGGGTTCCTCCTGCTCTGGGAGACCCTCCCCACGGTGTCAGGAGATCTGGGTGAGTGCCGTGAGGGGGAAGCGGGGAGCACATCTGTGGGTGGGGAGACCCACTTGTGGATGTCAACCAAGCGGGGACAAACTTCAGCCCACATTTTGGACTTCAACTCCCACCATTCCTGGCCTCGGGCCCTTTCCTTTTCCCCCTCAACCGCGGAAAAGGAAAAGGAAGGGTCCTGAGGCCAGGAATGGTGGGAGTTGTAGTCCAAAACACCAGGAGGGAGGGCCCAAGTTTGCTCATGCCTGGATTAAAACACGGATGACCTTGCAAAACTACAGTTTCCAGGTTTCTGCTGTTTGAGCTGCCATGATTAAAATGCTGTCGGAGTGCATTCATTCTGCCGTGTAGATGCCCCTTTGGGAGGACGAATGCTCTTTGACACCACGGTGACTCCATCCCAGTGCTGTGAGGTCCTGGAATATGCCGTTTCAGAGCCAACTACAAATCCCAAGATCTCACAAGATGGAGCTGCAGCAGTGCAAGTGTGGTCAAACTGCTATAATTCTGCTGTGTGTCCACTCTCTCTCACACACACACACACACACACACGGCCGTAGCTAGAAAAAAAATCTCGGGTGGGGGGAGGTTTTTTAGAGAATCATGAGAAGTAGTTCAATAATAATTTAAATAATATGGTTCATTCTATGTTTTATGTAGACTTAATTAAATCAATTTTCTCGTCTCCTTCATGGGGGGCTTCAAGTCCTGCCCCCCCCCCAATGCCTCAGGCGTGGCCTCCCAGATGTGGGGGGGGGGCAACTGGGTTCCTTTCAGCGCTTGATGCAAGTCAGGACTGTGAATAAAATTTTATTTATTTTATTTTATTTATTTGACTTGTATACCGCTATTCCCAATTTGGCTCGGAGCGGTTTACAGCAGTAGATTGAAACAATACAATTCACTTTAAAATACAATAAAACGAGAACAGACCTAGTCCCGAGTTATTCACCCATCGAAAGCTTGTCGGAAGAGAAAGGTCTTACAGGCTTTCCGGAAAAGCACATAAGTCTCGGATGGTTCGGGTTCCAACTGGCCCGGCATTCCATAAATAAGGGGCCACGATCGAGAAGGCTCTCTGCCTAGGAGAGGACAGGTGATAAGTCCGGATGTTGGGGACTTCAAGCAAATTTTGGTCTTCGGACCGAAGTAATCCCTGGTGTTGGTCGGGGGAAATTGTCCCAATGTGCTGGAGAGGGTGCTTGCAGTTCTGGAGGGACATCTCATAGACTTAGCAGCAAGGGAGTGGGCTCACCAGTTGAAATTCATAAGTAAACCAGGGTTTTTTTAACCTGAAACATTTCGAGGGGGGGGGTTGAACCCCTAACACCCCTCCCCCTTGGCTACAGCCTTGCACACTCACACTCACACACAGCATTCCTCCTTCCAACCCGATGATGTATTTCATCCTGGATCTGAAACGTGGCCTGGGGTGGGGTGGGGTGGCCTTCCTTCCTTCCTTCCTTCCTTCCTTCCTTCCTTCCTTCCTTCCTTCCTTCCTTCCTGCCGTAACGCTGCCCCTCGTGCCTGCCCCCCCCTGCCTTTCCTCCCCAGGGGTGTGCATGCTCCCGTCCGACCCGGGCGTCTGCTTCAACCTCCAGGAGCGCTGGTACTTCCACTTCAAGAAGAAGGAGTGCCGGCCCTTCACTTGGGGGGGATGCCAGGCCAACGAGAACAACTTCCCCACCCACAAGGCCTGCATGGAGACCTGCGGCCACTACGGTGAGTCCCGGGACGGGCCTCCTTCACGCAGGTGTTGGGGGGCCAAGCAGGTGCTGGGGAACTCTGCCTGCCAAGGAAGGCGGCCGGTCAGGTCTGGAACCGGTGCCTGCCGCTGTGACGGTCTGGATTGAAGCTGAATCCAGGCAAGGCAGCGGTCCTCCTGGTCAGTCGCAAGGCCGAACAGGGCATGGGGTTGCAGCCTGTGCTGGGGGGAAGGAAGGAAGGAAGGAAGGGGCGACACTCCCCCGAAGGCGCAGGGTCGCAGCTTGGGTGTGATCCTGGACTCATCGCTGAGCCTGGAGACTCAGGTTGCAGCGGTGGGGTGGCCCGGGGGGCTTTTGCACACTTAACACTACTTGTGCACCCATTCCTTGGGAAGCCAGGCTTGGCCACGGTGGTCCACGCTCCCATTGGAATCACAGAATCCTGGCGTTGGAAGGGACCTGTGGCTTCATCACACTAGAGAACAGAACCCACTTAAAATCGGGTTCCTGCCTCCTGCAGAATTCTGGGGTTTGTACTTTTGGGAGGCTGGTAAAGGCTCCTCCCTGAACTACAAACCCCAGAATTCAGCAGGAGGCAGAAACCAGATTTTAAGTGGATTCTGTTCTGTAATGTGCTGAGGTTACTGGTGGGCCATCCAGTCCAACCCTATTCTGCCAAGAAACAGGAAAATCGCCTGCAAATGCCACCCAGCCTCTGCTACAAAGCCTCCAAAGAGGGAGCTTGCCTCCACCACACTCCACAAGAGGCAGAGAGTTCCACTGCTGAACAGCTCTCTCTCTCTCTCTCACTGTCAGCAAGTTCTCATGTTCAGGTGGAATGTCCTTCCTTTCCTGCCATTTGAAGCCATTGTTCCATTGCGTCCTGTTCTTCAGGGCAGCAGAAAGGAAGCCTGCCCCCTCCTCCCTAGGGCTTCCCCTCACATATTTTATATATGGACATCATGTCTCCTCTCAGCCTTCTCTTCCACAAGCTAGGTTTTGGCCTATAAAGCCTTAAACAGCTCCAGCCCAGTTTATCTGTCCGAACACATCTCCTTTATGAACCACCACAAAGACTAAGATCTTCTGGGGAGGCCCTGCTCTCGGTCCCACCACCCTCACAGGCGCATTTGGCAGGGACGAGAGAGAGAGAGAGAGAGGCCTTCTCAGTGATGGCCCCCTGACTATGGCACTTCCTTCCTGGCGAGATTAGATCAGCGCCCTCCCTCCCTCCCTCCTGTCCTTCAGAAAGTTGGTGAAAATTTAAAAACCTGGCTGTGGGACCAAGACTTTGGGGCAGTGCCAGGAGGAAACTTTACCTTGCTGACCAGTCAATAAGGATGATTTCAGACAGTTTTAACAGTTGATTTTAACGAGGGGACAACTGGTTCCAATGTTTATGTGTATTTATAGTTTATTTTATGTCCCGGCATTGAATGCTTGCCGTGTATATGTATCTTGTGCTCCGCCCTGAGTGCCTCTCGAGGTGAGAAGGGCCAATAAGGCAGCGAGAGGAAATAAGGGACAAGGCAATAAGGCAGCGATAGGAAAGATCTCCAGGCCAATTAGATTTGGCGCAGATGACTAGGGCGGTTTTAAATGGTGTATTTTCATATTGAGACAAATGTGTGTCATGATTATGTATGCACATATGAATTTGTGTCCCGGCATTGAATGTTTGCCGTATTTATGCTGTGCTCCGCCCTGAGTCCCCTGAGTCGTGGTGAGAAGAAGGGTGAGAAGAAGGGTGGAATATCCATGTTTTAAATACATAAATAAATGCATGTTCTGGAAGAGGGCGCATGATGTGGCACCAGCCCTCCATGGCAGAGCAGGTTGAAGCTCTTGTAAATCTATATCTCCCGTGATCCCAAGACTACAACGCCTAGGATGGCACCCAAGACACGCTCATGCACTTGGCTCTTTTCCCTTTGCAGGATAATGAAGACGCTGCCGCTGAGGCCTTGGGAGAACACCTGGGGAGAACACCTGGGGAGAACACCTGGGGAGAACACCTGGGGAGAACACCTGGGGAGAACACCTGGGGAGAACACCTGGGGAGAACACCTGGGGAGAACACCTGGAGAGAACACCTGGGGAGAACACCTGGGGAGAACACCTGGGGAGAACACCTGGGGAGAACACCTGGGGAGAACACCTGGGGAAAGCGTGGAGTAGAGGGCCACCTGGACCCAGGGGAAGCGCCTCTGGTGGGTCAACACTAGAGGTCTTCTCTGAATAAAGGCCGCCTGCGTTTCCTTGCCATTCTGTTCCCCGTGTTTTTGTGCGCAGGGTTCAGGGTGGAAGCCGAGCCCATTCCTGTGCCTCTCAGCTCCACGATGGAGAAGCAGCGCCACATGGGCATCGTGGGACGGATTCGGCCGTCTCTCCACATTTACAGCCTTGACCTTTGTGGGTTTGATGATTGATGGGTTGGACTGAAATGTCCGCTCTAGGAGCCTGTAAGCCTTCCAGTTCAAAGCCATGGGCAACTTCATGCTGGAGGACTGAGGGATTCTTCTTCGAGGGGGCACCCGTTTAGCACACTCAGGGTCGTCCAGCGCAGTTCTATGGTCAACCTCCCACCTGGGAGGTTCTAGATTCATGGGTCCTCTGGCACAATTTTGTGGCCAGCTTCTGCTCTAAGTTGTGTCCTGAGACCCCTAGCGTCTTGTCTGGACAATGGAGAGAGAGGCCGGTTAGTATTCTGGTGGCCAATGGAGAGTTGGGGCAGGAGGGCTGGGCTGCTTGGCCTGGGATGGCCTGTGGTGGATGTCCCTAAGTCAGGCATGGGCCAACTTCGGCCCTCCCTCCAGGTGTGGTGGACTTCAACTCCCACAATTCCCCACAGCCACGGACCTTTCCCTTTTCCCTTTCCTTAAGCAGAAGAGGAAATGGAAAAGGGAAAGAAAAAGTCCTGTGGCTGTTAGGAATTGTGGGAGTTGAAATCTCCTGAATGCAACGACAGAACCTTGCCAATAAAACCCTTGGATACTAGTTACGCCTTAGGGCAGGCACGGGCCAACTTTGGCCCTCCCTCCAGGTGTGGTGGACTTCCACAATTCCTGACAGCCTCAGGCCCCTCCCTTTCCCCCCTCATCCGCTTTGGGAGCTGAAGCCCAAAACAAGGGCATTCCCAACATCTGGCCAAACTCCTTAAGAGCAGCAGCATGAAACGCCTAAGCAAAGGCTACTGTCTGGACATGAAGACAATGGAAGCGAAGGAAGCCCTGCTCTAGCATCCAGACCTGTGTCTGTGCATTCACAAGTATGTTCAATAGGTCAAGGATCAGCAGCAATCACCAGAATTGGGAGGAAGGGCTTGTGGACAGGGAGGAGGGAGAAGGCTGGATTCGTAAACGCCTGGCGGAGAGGGAGGGCTGGGTTCGGAAGAACTGGGCAACGCCATTGCAGGAGGAGGAGGAGGAGGAGGAGGAGGAGGAGGGAGAGACTGTTTACACAAGGCCTGGCTCTCCTGCCTCTGGCCCTTTGGCGCAACAAATCGGATGGATGACCAACGACTGGAGAAAGGTCACGCTAGACCAATCCCTCCCCGAGGGAGGACTTCTGGTTTTCAGCTCTGCAGATGTCCACTTAGGGCTGGAAGGTTGGACTAAGTCTCCCGTTGCCCCTCGACCATGGGAATCCTCTGGCTGACCCTGGGCAAGGCGCACTCTGAGGAGGTGGACTCCAAGGCAGAAGGTGCCCGGCGGAGAGCAACCCAAAGGGTCAAAGGCCAGGAAGGCATGGGTCCCTCTGAGGAGCAGAAGAGAAGGCTGAGAGGAGACATGGGGAGGGCCAGGGGTCAAGAGGGGAGGGCAAGCCCTAGGGAGGGAGGAGGGAGCAGGCGTCCTTTCTGCTGCCCTGGAGAGAGACTAGGGCGCCATGGAGCCACGGCTTCAAACTACAGCAAAGGAAGGAGAGTCCGCCTGAACCTGAGGAAGAACTTCCTCGCTGTGAGAGCTGTTCAGCAGTGGAACTCTCTCCCTCCCTCCCTCCCTCCCTCTCTCTCTCTCTCTCTCTCTCTCCCCCTTTTGTGGAGTGTGGTGGAGGCTCCTTCTTGGGAGGGTTTTAAACAGAGGCTGGATGGCCATCTGTAGGGAGTGCTTTGAGTGGGATTTCCCTGCTTCTTGGCAGAATGGGGTTGGACTGGATGATGGCCCACCAGTCTCTTCCAACTCTAGCATTCTAGGCTTCCAAGCAGCAGTGGCTCTTGCTCTGTGGGCTCTGCAGAATGGTTCTGAGTGGCCCTGAGGCCTGCTTCTCCTCCCGAGCATGGGGTTGTGGGGTTGTGGGGTTGTGGGGTTGTGGGGCTGGTTCTGGCTCAGTCCGTGCCCGTGTGCCTGTGCTTCCATGATGCGCAGACCCTCGCTATGGCCTTCCCCAGTGTCGATGGGGCTGTGTACTTGCAGGGAGGGAGCTCTGGAGCCAGAGGCGGCCCTAGGTAATTTTCAAAGGTAAGCAAACAGTATTTTGCCCCCCCCCCCCAACCAATCATTGATATATATTTTCTGTTTGTCGTGGGAGTTCTGTGCCATATTTGGTTCAATTCCATCATTGGTGGAGTTCAGAATGCTCTTTGATTGTAGGTGAACTATACATCCCAGTAACTACACTTGCCGC